ACTTTGAAGAGAGAGCTATGACTTCTAAAGGTCTTTTTGAGGCTTGCTCTGCTAGGGTTTAGGTTCTTGAGAGAGATTTGACTACAGTTTGAAGATTTGAAGAGATTCAAGTGGATTTTCTTTGATTTTTCTTCTTCTCATCCCTTTTCTCTCTTTGTTTCTAATATGAATGTTGTACATGTTACAATCTAAATAGTAACAAATTTTCTTGCTCTAGAATTATTTCGAACCTTTGTATGGATTGAGACTTGAATATTCCTCTCTTTTGGTAGTTAATTTGTGTGTGTGTGTGTGTGTGTGTGTGTGTTATCCCATGCTTAATGCTTCTGATCACCATTTAGATTGTTTTGTTCTATTGAGTTGTGCTTGAGAGAGTTAACTTAGGTGTAAAACTTGGATAAAATAGTATTGGACTTGAAATTTACAAAGATAAATGGATGATTTTGTTAGTAAAATATAAATATTTTATTAACCCTTTATAGCCTCATTAAGGTTGGAGTTTAAAAATTATTTTCACTAGTTATTTTCAAGATATTGTGAAATTTTAGTATTTGCAAATATACTTGATTTTGACTTGAGAAAACTTTTTCAAGTAGATTAGAATCTTAGACTAACACTTATTTTCATTAAAAATCTATTTGAAAAGAATTACTTTAAGTTTTATGAAATACAAAGAGGAGGGATAATCTTAGATCCTCATCTCTTGAAGTCAAGGTTTTAAGAAAATTTTAATTGTTTAAATGCTTTTAATCGAATTTTCATTTCCTTACTTTCATACAAACTTACTCTTGATTTTGCTCAACCTATTTTAAAGCTTAATAGTGAATTTTGACTCTCATTTGCCTAAATCCTCGTGGGAACGATATCTCTGGAATATTTTACACTTGTGACGACCTGTACGCTTGTGATAACACTTGATGGCGAACAAAATTAAGAAAAATTCATATTTTTTTGTTGAATTATCAAAGACTAAACTATAAATAGCATTTGAAATTCTCATGGTGGTGATTGACCATATATCCTCATCAAAAATTAATATTTTTAAATATTTCATACTTTGAACACAAGAAATAACAACATATAATTGGTTGTGAGTGAAAACAAGATAAAGCTACAAGTACAATCTAATATTACATAGGCTTTAACCTCAGATTTATTAATGGTCATGAAAAAGGTAATATAATGAAAAGCTACCTTCTCATGATAAATGGCAACCTAGAACCAAACAAACATATAACAATATGCATTATGCATATTTTTGTCCCTTTAATTGATCTAAACATTTCTTGGGCCACAAAAACATGTTTTCTAATTTGTTACACTATTGGTGTCTTTTCGCCTATCATGATGGATCATCTCTTCCAACCTTCACTAAGATTCTACCCTAATGCCTTCAACAAACCAAGTTTATCTTTTGAATCTTGTGCCATTGCCTTCCTAGTAGACACTTGCAACTTCTCTGTTAAGAAACTCACTTAAAGACTAAGGAGTGCTTGGAGGCTGCAAAATGGTTTTTGAGTTGAAGGAAAGATTAGTAATTTCTACTTGATTAGTTTTACTAATCAAGAAGATCGAGACTTTATTATGGATAATAGACCTTGGTCTATTCTAAATTCTCTTCTGGCGGTGGATCGATGGCTTCTTAATATACATTTGTATGAGATAGTAGTGAGAAGCTTTCCTACTTGGGTTTAGTTTTGGGTGGCTTTCCTATGTTTAGAAGAGATAGCTATAGGTGGTTTTCTACTCCTTTAGGCTCGATTAAAGGAATGTCAAAGAGGAACAATTCTGGTGCTAATGGTTCGGGATCTTCAAGTAGGAGAATTGTCAATAGAGGATTGCAGTCCCAAGGAGAAATGGGCCAGATCAGGAGAAGGCTAAATATTTTAGAGCTCTACAGTAGTCGAGTCAGACCGCTATTGCCCTTGTGTCTTGTGTGAGCACTGCATGCTCACCTGTGTGTGCAATTTGTGGGAAGAATCATCCTGGAAGGTGCTGGCCGTGTTACATTTATGGTAGCATAGGCCATTTTGTGAAGGATTGCTTCAAGAACCAAGAGGGAGTTTCTGAGCAGCAACAGGTAGTTCTGGGTCGAGTGCACACCGTTTCCCAAGAGGAGGCTCAAACAGCACTAAATCTAATTATAGGTATAATTTTTATTTGCGAGCAAAGAGTGAGGCTTTATTTGACTCAAGAGCTACCTATTCATTTGTGTCACATGATTGTGTGAAAAAGCTAGGTTTCCCTGTGCATGAACTACCTTATATAGTTAAGGTATTTATACCTTCTAGATTACTAAATAAGACCAGTAAGGTGTGTGAATGGGTGAAATTGTGTTTTGAGGGCAGGACTTCTGTGATAGATTTGATTCTGATTCCTATGCAAGGATTGGATGTGATCATTGGGATGGACTACTTGATAGAGAATAATGCTACCTATGATTGTGCCAAGAAGATGGTATTACTGCCAGTTCCTAAGATGCCTATTGTGGTTCCTACAGCGATTGCTAACTAGCCAAGATTGTTGTCAGTAGTTCAAGTTGAAAAGTTGGTTTCTGAGGGTTGTCAGGCTTATTGGTTTTCTTTGCAATGGAAGGTAGGGGCAGTCGTAGTGTGGATGAGATCCAAGTTGTGAACGAGTTTTCAAAAGTGTTTGTAGATAAGGTATTGGGTTTGCCACAAGAGTGAGAAGTAGAGTTCTCCATCAATTTGGCACCTAGTACCTAACCTATTTCGAAAGCACCATATCAAATGGCTGCTTTTGACTTGGTAGAACTCAAGAAGCAGTTCGAGGAGTTATTAGAGAAGGGCTTTATACGCCCTAGTGTATGGCTTTGGGGTTCGCCATTCCTATTTGTGAAGAAGAAGAATGCCAGCCAGTGGCTATACATTGACTACAGGCAATTGAACAAGGTGACAATAAAGAACAAATACCCACTTTCGAGGATAGATGATTTGTTAGATCAACTAATGGGAGCTTTAGTGTTCTCTAAGATCGACTTGTGGTTGGGGTACCATCAACTGAGGGTAAATGCAGAGGATGTGCCTAAGATAGCATTTTTACTTGATATGGTCACTTTGAGTTCTTGGTAATGCCAATTGGGTTGATGAATGCGCCTGTGGTTTTCATGGACTATATGAACTGCATATTCCATCCTTTTTGGGATTAATTTGTTGTTGTGTTCTTGGATGACATATTAATAAATTTTAAGGATAAGGAAGAGCATGCAAGACATTTGAGGACTGCATTAAGGATTCTGAGAGATAACCACTTGGATGCCAAGTTGAGTAAATGTGAATCTTGGCTACGAGAAGTGCAATTCCTCGAGTATCTGGTGTCATTGAGGGTATCTCAGTAGATCCTCACAAAGTGGATGCAATATTGTAATGGGAATGGCCAAGTTCAATGACTGAGGGGTGTAGTTTTTTGGGTCTAGCTGGATATTACAGAAAGTTCATTTAGGGATTTTCAAAAATTGCTATTCTTTGACTCGATTAATGAGGAAGGATTAGCTTTTTATTTGGGATGAAAAGTGTGAAACTGCTTTCGTGAAGCTTAAAGAGAAATTAACCTCGGTGCTGGTGTTAATTATTTCTAATCCATGGTTGCCTTATGAGGTTTATACGGATGCTTCTTTGAAAGGTTTAGAGTGTGTGTTAATGCAAGAAGACTGAATAGTATCATATGCATCCAAACAGTTGCAACCTCATGAAGAGAGTTATTTGACATATGACTTAGAATTAGCAGCTATGGTTTTTTCTCTTAAAATTTGGCGACATTATCTTTGTGGTGTAGAGTTTAATGTGTGTGGTGATTACAAGAGTTTAAAATATCTTGTGGATCAATAAGAGCTCAATATAAGATAAAGGTGAGAGATGAAATTCCTAAAAGATTATAACTTTGAGTTTAAGTACCATCTAGAGAAAGCTAATGTAGTAGCAGATGCTTTGAGTCGAAAATCACTACATGCAGCTGGGTTAATGGTTTGGGAGCACCATTTGTTATCGTGTTTGATAGAAGTGCAGCTTGAGACATCGAATTATTTGCTGAATGTAATTCACTCAACACCTATTTCCAATGAATTTTGGAAAGAGATATGTGAAGCTAAGTTCAAAGACAAGTTCTTGTCAAGTATACAATAAGATATAGAGGAGGGTCGTTCTACTCTATTCTGGTTCAGTGATGACGAGTTCAGCTTGTATAAGGATAGAATTTGTATACCTACAAATCAAGGAATTAAAATAAGATTATTAGAAGAAGCTCATTGGAGCAAATATATGATGCATCCTAGTGTGACCAAGATGTGCCATGACATGAAGAAGCATTGATGGTGGCAAGGTGTTGCTCACTGTAAGTGCATGGGTCGTAGCAAGTAATATAAAATGAGTAGAGTATCGTTCCCTCGAGGATTTGTTTAGAAAACTATAATCAAGCAAAAGACTAAGCAAATTTGATCAAGTTGAGCTACACATAGTTAGGTGAAATGGTTTTGCAAATGAAACTAACACTGAAAAATAAAGAAAGTGAGTGATTCACAAACTTCCAACACAAATTGAGACCTAGGATTATTTGTTCCCCTTGTATTTCATAACACCAAAATTACCTCCTCTCATAAATGCTTTTAATGAAAATAAGTGCTAACCTAGGGTTCTAAAAATACTTGGACAAGCTCTCTTAAGTCATGAACAAGTATTTAGTTAAATTAATTGCCCAATCTCTTGTTACAATTAATAAAACTCAATTTTAAACACCAACCCTAATGTGGCTATGTAAGGCTAGCAAGTATATCTCTATTTTACTAGCAAAACCATCCATTCAACATGCAAATATCAAGTTCTTACACAATTTTACCCAAGTTCTACACTCAACCTAGCCCTCTCAAGCATCAATTAAGTGAACCCAATATCTAAATGGTGGCCAATCAAGTAAAAGCATTAAGGAAAGAGTAAAATAAACACATATATATCATTAATCACAAAAAGAGAAGAGAAATATAGTGTTAATCCATACAAGGGTTCTAAATAATTCTAGAACAAAGGGTTTAGCTACTCGTAATCATCCACAAGTTATAAATATACAAAATAAGTGGACCCATTTCAGATTACAAGAGAGGAAAGGGAAGAGGAATAGAAAAACCAAAGAAAATGAGCTCCAAATGTCTTCAAAGCTTCAATCTCTTGATCCCAACTCTTCCAATGCCCAAACCCCAGCACAACCAAGTTTCAAAAGTGTCTAAAAGTTTGAAGAATGCGTTCTGGGTCGAGCTCTCAGCTTATATGTGTCCTAGCCAACTAATTTTTGATAAATGAAACGCAGCATTTTTCTGACAGCGACGAAAGTCGCGAACGAAAGTCACGACTTTGAGACGACTTTGACAGTTTTGCACTGTTTTTACAGTTAACGAAAATCATTCATTTTGCTCTTGATTTCTTCATCCAAAAGCTTTCCAAAAACATCCACAAAGCTCCAGAAATGCTTTTAATCAAAACTTCAATCAAAATAACATGAAATTAGGTGAAAAATATCAAATTAAAGCCAAGAACACAAGCCCAAAATAAAATGCACATTTTCCTAATTTGGGCAATGAAAACATATACAATTGAACCAAAATGAATTAGAATCAAAGGAAAATGTGATGAAATAACATGAACTTCTAGAGGTTAACACAAGGTATGAAGAGGGATGTTACTAAGATTGTGAACTAGTGTCCCACGTGTCATAAAGTTAAGATTAAACATTAGAGACTAATTAGGATGCTTCAAACTTTAGAGATTCCCCAGTAGAAGTAGGATAGCATATCAATGGACTTCATGTCTGCTCTACTGAGGACCCAGTTAGGATATGACTCTATATGGGTTGTTGTGGATCAGTTGACAAAGTCAACACACTTCTTGCCAGTTAAGACCACTTATGCTATGGGAAAATAAGCAGAGGTGCATGTAAAAGAGGTGGTAAAACTACATAGTGTGCCTAATGACATAGTCTTAGATTGAGATCCCCGATTTACTTTAAGGTTTTAGGGAGCACTTCAGAAGGCTATGGGTACTGAGTTGAAATTTAGTACCTCTTATCACCCAAAAATCAACAGACAGACTGAACGCATGATACAGACTTTAGAGGACATGCTTCGGTCATGTGCTCTTGAATAGAAAGGAAGCTAGAACAGCCATTTGCCTTTAACTGAGTTCACTTACAATAATAGTTATCACTCAAGTATTCAGATGACACTTTACGAGGCATTGTATAAGAGGAAGAGTATATCACCCTTCTGTTAGGTTGAATTGAGTGAAAGAAGTGTGATTGGTCTAGATATTATGGATTAAACCATAAAAAATATCAAATTTATTAGGCAGAAGCTTCTTATTGCCCAAAGCCATTAGAAAAGTTATGTTGATAGGCGACGTCGGCCATTAGAATTTGAAGTAGGAGAAAGAAAAGGAGGGAAAAATGTAGTTGAGAGGTGAGGAAGGATTAGCTCTACTAGGCAAGCATGATTTGGCTATCAGGAGTCTGCTTCGTTAGTGACTTGTTAGGTAAGTATCGTATAACCCTAAGCTTCATTTCTATCTCATTTTCATTAAATTTGATTGGTTGAAAAATTGGATCATGAAGTTTTAAGGCATTAGAATCTAAAAGAAAGGTATAAAAAAGGCTATCAAATAAAGAACTAAGGTTTTGTGATTAGTATAGAGTTGAATGGTTGAACTTTGAGGATTTAGACTCATTTAACCTAAGAAGTTAGGTTGAAATGGTGAAACTGGGTAAATAAATGAATTTGGAGATTGTTATAGTCATTTAAGCAACCTATAGGGCCAATGACTATAAATAATTGACTCATAAATTAGAAAGGTGTTAATTGAACCCTTTTGTGTGTTAAGGGATTTAATTTAGCCAAATCAATATGTAACATCTCGGTTTTTAATTCTCCTAATTTACTAAGCTTAATTAGGATAATTGAGTAAATTGTAGTGGTGTGTGACCAGTGAGGTTTAATAATCATATTCCATTGTATTTCAGCCCTAATTGTGGGCTCAATATCAAGTCAGGCCACCCGAGAATCAAAAGGAGAAGAAAATGAAGGGTTAGTGTTATTGTGCCACATACTGTGGCATGGAGTGCATCTGTCGTAGTGCATAGACACTTCAGATGTGGAATAGAGACCTTTCTGTGCTATAGGCTGCGATGCATTTAACATCCACCGTAGTTCATGGTCATTTTCCATAATTTATCAGCCTCAAAACTGAGATAGAAATAGAGAAGAGAGAAAGCAAAAAATGAAGAGGCATGCCAATCTCTACTAGGATTTGTTCTTAGATGACATTAGGAGTGTTTTGAAAGCTATAAATACCCAAGGAAAGCATCCTACTTATTAATCTCCCCATCTCTTCCACACTCATGAGTTTATGGTTAAGGTTTAATAGTGGAAGATTATTTTCAGTCCATATAGGTTATGGGTTCGAATCTATTGACTTAAATGAAATTGATGGGAGTAGATTATAGCATCTAAACTTAGGTATAATGAATTTTTGTGTCTTGGGTGGTTGCGCTTCATAAATATGCAAAAATTGCATTAATGTGGGTTGTTGGAAGAGTGTGATGCCATTATTGGGAGTTTAATAGCTCATTAATGTTATTAAGGACTAAAGAATTAATAAAACCAATGGGTAGGCCTAAATGTGAGCAATGTGGGGATTGTGTGAATTTGAAGTGAAATGTGAGTTGAGAGTTAGGTGTGATCGACATTATTGATGAAATCCAACCTAGTTAATTGTATATTAAGCTCTTTGACACCAATTTGGCTTGAAAATTCAAGCTTGGAAGCTATAATATTGAAGGATAAACCTTTGACTCAAAGGTTTGAGGTAATCAGGAGAACCCAATTTTAGATAGTTATTTATTAATTGTAATATGAGGTGAATTATGTGTTAAACATGCAAATTGTGATTTGTGAATGGTGTAACATGCAACGAAATTTGGTAATTATATAATTGCTTTTATGTGTATGAAATATGTGAAAAATGCTTGTGAAATGATTAGCATTTTTATAATGTGATTTGGTATGAGTAATTGATGATGAGATGAACATATGAGATTGAAAATGATAGGTGTTATGTGATATAAGTGAAAATAAGAATTGATGCTCACTTAGGTATCACTCGGTTGTGAGCCCAACATGTTGACTTTGATATTGAATAACTAAAAATATGAAAATGAGTGAGCATCATATACATCATGATCATTGGGTAGGAGTTCACCTAGGGATTGAGAATAGAGAAAAAAATCCATATAATATTTAGGCTGCCCTCCGATGCGGCATAACCTTGTCCTACAGTTTATTAAGAGACAGACAGTCCGATAGTTTGTCGAGGACTAGAAACTAGTTATCTCCACCAGTTCAATGAGAAGAATAGCTTAGGATATGAGACACCCTAGAGATTCGAGAGTAGGGGAAGTCGTGGTCCGAGAGTGAGTCATGTGATCTTTGACCAAGTCACACCTCACGATTAATGAGTTTGGATAGTCCAGTCATACCAATAAGCCCTATTTAGTGTTATAGCCTACGGTTTTAATCAAAGAAAATAAGGAGGGTATAAAGTTTGTTGATCATTACCTGTATAAACTTATGACATGTCACATGATTATAATGCGGCAAGTTGTGTGGATAATGGGTTATGATCACATGTTAAATATATTTTGACAATACACTTAGTGCATGTGAGATAAATATGATATAAAATAAGTAATGATAAGTTATGAAGTATGTGTAAGCATGTTTTAAGAACTTGATTTCATATGCATGTGATTAATTATAATTGATATATAATTGCATAGGGTAGGTTTTACCTTGGTTATTGAGTGTCTAGACTCACACTTTCATTTAAAATTTTTCAGGCTTTAGCGCCGGTGCAGAGAGGGAGAAGGCTCAAGAGGTAAGAATTATTTGTTCCTCTTATATGCCTCTAGTTTATATATATATTTTGTGTAATAGAATATTGTATGTTTCCAATTCTAGGTTGCATATTGTTACACTTGTACTATCTTGTTATTGCAAATATTTGAATTGTATTTTGAACCCTGAGTATTTGTGCATGAAGATATATATATGTTAAGGTCAAAACACTAGTGTAAGTGTAAGAAGGATATTTTCAATAGGTTTTGATTGGTTTGGATGCAATGCAAATGAAAATTACCCCCCCTTCTGTTTTTGGTGAAAAAGGGGTTGATGAGTGCTTTTATGCTATATTGGTATTTAAGTACATGTGATGTGTTATATCGATAGTCCTAGGTCTAATAGACATGGTCTAGCCATTGGGAAAGGCTTTAGGCATTCGTTTTGGGTTTTAGACACTCTTTTGTTGTGAAAAGTTGTGAAAAGTGGTCAAAAAATATTTGGGTGTCCAACTTCCTGTTGTGACTTGCTTTGGAAGTGAAATCCATGCCATTAATTAGTTTATCAAAAGAGCTTTTTCGTAGACACCTAGATCACATCATTTAGACGTCAAACGAAGAATCAAGACTCGTCAGAAGTTCCCCAATCTACTATCATTTATGTGCAACACATTACCGCGCATGGTGCTTGAGCTATGGCCCATGGTACAGAGAGCAACACGCCACGATACAGCGTGCTCAAGTCGCGGCGCATTGCCCTGTTTCACAATGAATAAGTTGTTTTTAACTGGTTTTTGATTTCTTTCACTCCTCCAAAGTATCTCATGCTTCTGTAACTTATTTTTACTATGATATAAGAGATTATGATTGATTTAAACTCATTTTGATTAAAAAAATTTGGGATCTATTGATTTTGAGTTAAAACTTGGTTAATTGCCTTTATGGATTAATCCTTGATTACTATAGGTTTATTTGATTAATTATGGTTAGTAGAATGAGATAATACAACTTGGTATCAGTGACTTTGGTTTTAAGAATTGGTTTGTGGTTTGTGGTTTGTGTAATTTGTAATTGAGATTTGTTGTGCAATGCATATAGAGAATTGGCAATATCCTATTACACTTATTGATTTCCCTTACCGAGCTAGTGCTCATTCCTTTTTTTCTTGTTGAGATTGCTTCCATCCTTAGTTGGGGAGAATACAGTGCAAATAAGAGCTACAAACATAAAAAATGCACTAAAAAATGTGCAAAGACTGAAACAAAGATTGATGAACCAAGAGCAACAACCATAACCTCAATAGGGTAATAAAGACAATGCCCCAAAAGAACTAAGGCATATGATGAGAGACATCCAGAGAAAAATGGATGGTTATGATGAGATCCTTAGAAAGAGACTTGAGGAGGGCAGCAAACCAATTGAGAGAGTTAGGGTTGACTAAGAGGAAGCTCGAAATGATGTGCACATTGAGATGCATGGACATGAAGAAGAAGAATACTATAAGGAAAGTATTCCTGAGAGGCCGATGCATTTAGTACGGCCTAGGATGAGCGAGTTAAAAGGCTCTATAGACATGGCTTTGAAGCGATTCACAAGATT